ATAATTAATATAAACAACTAAACGCCTTCCTGATTGCATCCTAGCTCATCCTGTCCGCCAGTCTATCTCGATCGCATTTGATCAATGAATTTATAATTCCTGATTAAACTGACTCTTGATTTTAAAATAGGAATTCTAAATCTGTTACTAGTATTTAAAAGTTGGTGTCTATTATGATACTGGAAATTGGAATACTATATTTTGTATTACTATTCTATCTCGATCTATAGTATATAAATATGGATTTCTAGGTCTACAGTCTGTCATTCCCACATGGGCTTCATTGAAACATACGACATTGCAAAGTTTATCCATTTCAAACAAGCCAGGAAAACAGATAACTTGTATTGCATCAGGCCCCGCAAATGTCCCATTTTTCTCTCGGGAAATACATAAATATCAGAGACATATTTCATAGCCAGAGGCCAAAAATGTCAAAATCGATATAAAATCTAAAAAGGATAAAATGTCCCCCCGAATACGGTACCTAGGTAATTAAATCTAATATTTCATAGTTCCCGCATAATAAGCATAAAACTTTAATTTACCGCTGTATCGAAATTCACGTGATCCCTTATTGAAATTTTACTAAATAATTGAGTTTGATCATTTAATGCTGTTGGATAGAATATAATCAAAATTTTAGCCCATGTCTGAGCGAATGGTATAAATTCACATAGTTCTGATTACAATGAGAATTCTAAAAAATTTCCTGGCATTTCCTTTACGTTTATAATCACGTATCATGCTTATTAACTAGATCAATACAGACTCGATTCCCTTTGCCCACCTTCAACATTGTTATGTAATGACGGGAAACAGTCACTGTAATCTTCTAATCAGCCGTTTGTTTTTATTGTAATTGGGAAACTAGTCAATTTTGATTTAGTATTGTTTCAATGAACAAAAAGCACATTAGTTCAGCATTTCAAGGAAGGGGGGTGTAAACAATTACTGACTGTCAAGTACATGTATCTCTCACGGGGCCCTATTTCCCCAACCCTCAATTCATGCATACGCCTATTATATAATGGATAGGGAAATATATAACATTCCAACAGATACTGTCTGGACCTCCTACCCTTTTTACCCTTTGCATTCGTTTGACTTCACTTCTTAAAAGAGAGCTTCGTCTAGTTTAACTAGACTCTGCACGCAGGGTAACCCTTTTACACCGGGTCTCTTCTTGAACCCCTCCCATATTCTAATGTTTCTCGAAACTGCTCATGTAAACTTTGTAAGGCAATGCAGGGTTTGCTACGGGTGTGACTTGCAATGTATAACTTACTTGTACTGTATAAGAAATAAAAACAAATAAACAAACATAAAAACTTGTGCTCATAATTAATACGGTGATAAGCAACAAAACGTCAAAATAAAATTTTGAAGTTTCAAAAACAGCCATGCACTACCCTGCATTTTAGCTGAAATTAAGTTTATTCCAAATAACTTATGTAACGAAATGGAAATGATTCGAAAAATAAAAATTCGATGAACATTTCACAATGAAGCAAACAAAACCAGATAGTAAAGAATTATTCTAATTTAAACCGACGTGAAACCTCAACCCTAAAGACACTGGTGACATTTGAAAGACTAATTTCTTAATCTAATTTCAACAAAACAAATCAAAACGTAAACAGGTTGACGGTCGTTGTAGTTTATAGACCATGCTAACAAAGTTTAAACATTTTATTTACGGCTTATTTAAAACATGCAAACGGGTGTATTTACTGAAGGAATATGTTAGGAAATATATTTAAAGTGTATTCATGCCTGCAATCATCGCTGGTAACACCTGAAAACAACTTCTTAAAATACAAACATAATTCACTGCACTGCTGTATACGTCTACCTGCTCTCAAATCTAATAATGAAACGAAAAAAATAATGCATGCCAAACTTTTATCTATTGTAATATTATCTATGGTTATTTCAAAGTTTTACTCTTGCATCAAGCAACTGTGCCATTTCCCCATCGGTCCTGTCTTTAAGGGCTAACACTTTACTTGAGGCAAGATGCATAAACTTGAACTCCCTGGGCTATAACTTGAAGAACGGCGTATTGTTCTTCAAACTGGACTTGAAATCTCAATTGTCACTGCTTGTGTGTCAGAACTCATTGGCACCTGCAAAACAGAATAATAAAATAAGAATAACATCATGATGATATCAGATATCATATTTCATTTGGAGCCTTAAATATTAAACAAGGCATAAACATGAAAAATGTCACCACCCGCCATTTGTTACAGACGCTGAACGCCGACCCCAGACGCTAAACACCGTACATAAAAAAGTTGGAGACTTTAACAATATATGACCACTTTTGTGGGTGACATAAAAAGGGGAAGTCCCGTCTAAATAAAACTCCTGATTTCAAGTTTTTTGTAAACATACACCATTGCATGTTGATGGTTGGCATGACCTGCAGGTCACGATGACAAATGAATGTTAGGTTGTCAATAGAATATAGCGTTTGACCCTCTCTGATCATAAAAATGAGTTGATAGAAATTCAAGTAACATGTATCAAGTTCATTTTATCACGGACTACAACTATTGATTCCAAATCTGGTTCACTGAACGGCTCAATAATTAGTAGTAAAGCGTATTTTATAGAGTCCGTAGTCTGGTGGCAGTTTATAAATCCCGCATTCGAACACTTATAATACTCCTAGATCTTAATATAACAATTTACGGTTTTTGCAATACGTTGTTTTTAATCACCTGTAGACGCACCTGGTGATCGGAAAATATGAACGGATCGGAGGGGGTGGGGTTGGTGAAGATTTGTTGAATTTTCTATCAAAAATGGGCTGACCTCCCTCCTCCGTTCATTTTGTCCGATCGCTGGGCGTGATAGATAATGTATTGAACGTTTTTATGTGTTTCTTATCGAACAAAATGTGTATTTTGGACTAATAATGTAATTCATAATAAATACAAGTATTTCAAGAATTGCCATACTGCACGTAAAACGGGTAGCCGTAGCTTCTTCACTGATGTACGATCGGATATACTACATGTACTTAAAAAAGTTGCGACTAATAAAACAGATCATCTTTAATGTAAAAATAACAGGTACACTTCATATAATCAATTTTAGATACTGTATTTAGTAATATTATCAATCCCAAACACAACGCATTAATTAAATGCATGTTTAAGTGTCAATTAGCGTATTAGAATAAAAATATTAAAACTATTATGAACAGATAATTCATTGATATGTATTTATTCAACTCTAATGGGCTTTTCTCTTTTAACTGCTACATGACTCTCGATTTACAGATATACAGATTTCGAGCCATCAAAGTCAGATAAGGCGGAGCCCTTATCCTCAATTAAAAAATAATATTGGTAAGGAAGTCGGACATGTTTGATACCGTTTCTTATCTCTTTTCTGCTTTTAAAATACCGACTTGAATCTGATCACAATTTGTGTACGATCATTGCATCAGATCTGAAAATATCAATATTGTACTCACTGGTTTTGTGATCGAAAGGTAGTATATGAGTTATAGATTATATAATTTGTGTGTTTTTTATGAAAAATAACATGCTCCGAGCAGGTGACAAATATTTCGACCACAGCCATACTGTTTTATTTAACTCGTATTTGAAAACAGATTGCAGAGAGACTGAATTGTTCATTTTCTTTTAAAAAATATACGACTGAAAACTTACTTCGTCAAATTTTGGCCATTGCTATCCCCCCAGCCCCCGGATACATTCCAATATAAAAATAAATTAACACCATCAAATCTTTTCATTCCAAAACACAAAACGCCTACATGTAGGCGCGTGTCGGTGTGATTTCAGGCATGATCAGTACTGTACATTTCTTAGAAGAAATGAGATGTCATGGTTTATCATGATGCATTCTCCGATCCACGTTGGAGTTGGCCAATGCATCGAGGAGTGCACCGACCGACGTAGCCAGCTTTCAGTCAGAGATTTTTCCCAAATAAAATTAAAAAAAATTGAAGAAGAATCTGGACAGAATTCCCACTTCTTGCAGTCGATCAATCCAATAAACAATATCAAGTTTAAAATCAGACAATATGCGCCGGCCGTAAAAGTTTCTGAATTTAATAACAAAGCACATGTGACTGTGTAATTATATCCATTGATGTTGTAAACTAGACGACATGTAGGTTCAGGTAGAAACATATACAACTGCTATATATCTCTGGTTAAAGCAAAACAATTAATTTAGCTTTTAATTATCGATCCTCTGTATATTACACGATCGACCAGGAATAATCGCCACTGTACAGTAGCATTCGATTTAGGCGGCTTTTATTAATTCATGAATTTTGTTTCAAGAATATGATTTAAATATAAAATACATTGAACAATTGCCGGTTGAATTAGACTCACAGTTGCCCTGTCTTAATTTTGCATCGATCGATGCATTCCTCGATCCACCGATGCACATTGGACGTTGCATCGAGAAATGCGTCGATCGGCGCATAAAACGTGCCGATCGGTGCATCGTTAAAATGCGCCGAGATGCATTTCGGCGCGCCGATGTTGCATCGATCGTCGCATCGATCGTTGCACCGGTCGGTGCGTCGATCGGTGCATCTATCGTCGCACCGAGGTGTGATGGCCGCTCTGGTCTGTACTGTACTTCAAACAAGACATCAACATGAAAAAAATGTCACCCCATGGCTGCAATTGCAACGGTGTAATAACAATATGTTACATACACCAAATGCTCACACTCTCACCAGGCCCGTAGCCAGGATTTGCCAAGGGGGGTTCACTTTTTGTAAAATTCCAGGGGGGTTCAAAACCACTTAAAAAGTGCTCAGAATGGTGAATTTGAATTATTATTTTTGGCGAGCGAACCCACAGAACCCCCCCTGGCTAGGAACCTGCTCACCAATAAGAATATGTTGAAACCAAATGGTGGAGACATTATAAATTGAAAAAAATTCAATAAAGGGTGACATGAGGTGTCTACTTGTGAACATTGCATATAAAGCTTACCTCCCATATCAAACCCTATAACTGGTAACTGTGTCTCCTTCTGGTATGTTGTCATAGCATAGCCTACCACCCCTCCTGCAGGACCTGATAGTATTGCCTTCGATCCCGTGAATCTGAAATGTGTGAAGAAGCATGATGATTCTGTATGATGTAAAAATAATAATTATCAATTTACCTGTTACAATCTGCCAAGAACTTAAATGTTTTAATGCATAACAGATTTTAAGACCATCCTTTTACCTATTTACTAAAGGAAGGGCATTTTTCACCTAATTACTGGCTTAAAACTATTATAGCTCACATTTAGCTAATTATTGGTGCAAAATCAGAACACTTTACATATTTGGTGGTGCAAGTCCATTATAGAATGTACATTTTACTGATGTAAGACTACAACACATATTTACCTACATAGTGTTGAAAGACCATTAGAATGGAGACAATTACAACACACATTTTCCTTTTAGTGGTGAAAGATCAATAGCACATTTACCTATTTAGTGGTGAAAGACCATTAGAATATATGTTTACCTATTCATTGGTGTAAGACCATTAGAATGGAGACAATTACAACACACATTTTCCTATTTAGTGGTGAAAGATCAATAGAATATTTACCTATTTAGTGGTGAAAGACCATTACAATACACATTTACGATGTAGCGATGTAGACCATATAATTTAAGTGAACAAAAGATAACCCCTCACTTGCTCGCGATTTCACGGGGCCTGGATAGTCACCGTGAGTATAAGACCATCACAAAAAACATTTACCTATTAAGTGGTGAAAGGCCTTTAGAATGTTTATTTACCTATTTACTGGTGTAAGACCATATTAGAATATTCATTTGCCTATTTACTAGTGTAAGACCATATTAGAATGTTCATTTACCTATTTACTAGTGTAAGACCATATTAGAATGTTCATTTACCTATTTACTAGTATTAGACCATATTAGAATGTTCATTTACCTATTTACTAGTGTAAGACAATATTAGAAGTGTAAGACCATATTAGAAAGTTTATTCAGCTATTTATTAGTGTAAGACCATATTAGAATGTTAATTTACCTATTTACTGATGTAAGACCATATTAGAATTTTATTTACCCATTTATTAGTATAAGCCATATTAGAATGTTCATTTACCTATTTACGAGTGTAAGACCATATTAGAATGTTCATTTATCTATTTACTAGTGTAAGGCCATATTAGAATGTTCATTTACCTAATTACTAGTGTAAGACCATATTAGAATGTTCATTTACCTATTTACTAGTGTAAGACCATATTAGAATGTTCATTTACCTATTTACTAGTATTAGACCATATTAGAATGTTCATTTACCTATTTACTAGTGTAAGACATTATTAGAAGTGTAAGACCATATTAGAAAGTTTATTCAGCTATTTATTAGTGTAAGACCATATTAGAATGTTAATTTACCTATTTACTGATGTAAGACCATATTAGAATTTTATTTACCCATTTATTAGTATAAGCCATATTAGAATGTTCATTTACCTATTTACCAGTGTAAGACCATATTAGAATGTTCATTTATCTATTTACTAGTGTAAGACCATATTAGAATGTTCATTTATCTATTTACTAGTGTAAGACCATATTAGAATGTTCATTTACCTATTTACTAGTGTAAGACCATATTGGAATGTTCATTTACCTATTTACAAGTATTAGATCATATTAGAATGTTCATTTACCTATTTACTAGTGTAAGACCATATTAGAATGTTCATTTACCTATTTACTAGTATTAGACCATATTAGAATGTTCATTTACCTATTTACTAGTGTAAGACCATATTAGAATGTTAATTTACCTATTTACTGATGTAAGACCATATTAGAATTTTATTTACCCATTTATTAGTATAAGCCATATTAGAATGTTCATTTACCTATTTACGAGTGTAAGACCATATTAGAATGTTCATTTATCTATTTACTAGTGTAAGACCATATTAGAATGTTCATTTACCTATTTACGAGTGTAAGACCATATTAGAATGTTCATTTACCTATTTACTAGTGTAAGACCATATTAGAATGTTCATTTACCTATTTACTAGTATTAGACCATATTAGAATGTTCATTCACCTATTTACTAGTGTAAGACAATATTAGAAGTGTAAGACCATATTAGAAAGTTTATTCAGCTATTTATTAGTGTAAGACCATATTATAATGTTCATTTGCCTATTTACTGATGTAAGACCATATTAGAATTTTATTTACCCATTTATTAGTATAAGCCATATTAGAATGTTCATTTACCTATTTACGAGTGTAAGACCATATTAGAATGTTCATTTATCTATTTACTAGTGTAAGACCATATTAGAATGTTCATTTACCTATTTACTAGTGTAAGACCATATTAGAATGTTCATTTACCTATTTACTGGTGTAAGACCTCCATCGGACTGCATGAACATCACTCGCATTTTCTATAACAAGAGTTTTTAGATTTCGCATTGCAGATAAAACGAGATAAATGAAAAAATGCCATAATATGGACTTTTTTAAAACCTCCTTTACTTTCCCGGTCATAAAGCAACAAGGCACCATCAAAAATAGTCAGTATTATTCAAAATGGTCACAATATAAGGTTTATCTTCGAAATACAATGCTTCCACAATGCATATATAAATACCTCTATATCTTTGAAACCACTTGAAAAACCTTTCACATAGCGCTTTATACAGGGTGTCAGGTATGCATCAGCACATGCTGAAATATACATTTGTACAATTTTTTATACAGGGTGTCAGGTATAAGCTCAGAAAATATGTAAACATTGCATACAAAGGAGATGTATCTCAATACAGGGTGTCCATTGTATTAGCCCAACTGGTGGCTGTGTTGTGTTGAGCCACATTTAAAATTGGTTTGTCCCTGCAAAAAGTAGAAAATATTATGATATATTTGCGTCTGGTTGAGAAATGACACAGAGTGTAAAAACATCTCACACTGAATGCAAAATGGCCACTTACTACACAAAATGCCCAGTTAATCAAATGAAAAAAAATGTCTAGCTATCTTGATGACAAGATTCATTGTGCTTTAAGTGAAGCTCTTTCAATTCAGCAATTTAGCAGTTTGCATAAAATCTTGTAATACTTGTATGGATACCTGTAAATCCTCTGGGTACGATTCTAACCATTGGCATAACTTCAGATGACAGAGACACTTGAGTAAAGCCCATTTTCTCAGCCAAATCTCTGATTGCTCTTTCGTGTGCATCATACCTAGATAGATAGAATTGAATAGATTGAAATAAATTCAACATTGAGAAGATGCCAAAAGTGAGCAACTAACTTGCTAACTTGGTTGCTCAGTAAGTCATACTAATATTTCAATTGGAAAAGATTAAGCCACTACTTTTAAAATTATATTGTATAGTATAATCGTTCAGTATATATTAGACACAAAGGGAAATCTTGAGTGAATAGATTATTGTCTGTTTGAATATACTTACGTATAGGAATGCATAAGGACTACAGCAAGGCTTCGAATCCCTTTATCAAGTATGCCTTGGAGGTCTGCTTTCAACTTAAGGGTATCCAAAGGGTGCCATATCTCCAACTACCAGTCAGCACAAAACACCAAATAATTTATGCATGCGTTTTATACTACTTCATATGCAGGCCTCCTAGACTTCCATCTTCACAAACACCAGTTCCGACCACGCAAACACCAGTTCCGACCACGCAAACACCAGTTCTGTCCACGCAAACACCAGTTCCGACCTTCCTTGCATTAGAACCATGATTCTCACATTACGAACGTGAGGTCAGAACTGATGTTCACGTTGATGATAGTATAGGAGCCCTGATAAATCTACTTCACACTAATGTCAATTTCCAAGGTTTCATTCATTTATAGTTTATATACTCATATAATTATTTCAACATCAATGATATCAAATAAACAAATAAAATTAATGAAAAAATGTTGGAATAGTAATAGAATGATTTTTAAAGATATCTATGGACTTTAAAACATTTAAATACAAAGTGTTCCACTTAGGAGGTGTTCTACTACTTATAGAGGTTCATTTAACAATGAGTCTGAAAAATGGTTCACTAAAAGAGATGTTCCACTGTACTTGATATATTTTAGAGGATCAGTTTCTCTTTTATCCTTTTCACATGCATAATTAAAAATGATCAAGTTTAACAAACCTTCTCTTCTGTAGCCCCAGTAACTGTTACAAAATCTTTGTTTATCTGACATTTCTCCTGACTCAGTACAATTCTCTCATCCACCTCAATGACTTCTTCATATAACACATCGGGAGTAACAATCTCCTGCAAGTACATTAACATAAATGCATATTATAAACTTGCAATTAGGTCACCATGTATGATATGAATACAAGGCATCCTTCTTAAATGTACATGTTGTAAAGTTGTAATTTAATGGAATAATTCACCATATAGGATATAGAGCCAACAAAAAGTTCTAAAAAGCATCGGGAGTAACAATCTCCTGCAAGTACATTAACATAAATGCATATTATAAACTTGTAGTTAGATCACCATGTATGATATGAACGCAAGGCATCCTTTTAAAATGTACATGTTGTAAAGTTGCAATTTAATGGAATAATTCACCATATAGGATATAGAGCCAATAAAAAGTTCTAAAAAGCATCTGGGGTAACAATCTCCTGCAAGTATATTAACATATGATATGAACGCAAGGCATCCTTTTAAAATGTACATGTTGTAAAGTTTCAATTAAATGGAATAATTCACCATATAGGATATAGAGCCAATAAAAAGTTCTAAAAAGCATCTGGGGTAACAATCTCCTGCAAGTATATTAACATATGATATGAACGCAAGGCATCCTTTTAAAATGTACATGTTGTAAAGTTTCAATTTAATAGAATAATTCACCATATAGGGTATAAAGCCAACAAAAAGTTCTAAAAAGCATCTGGAGTAACAATCGCCTGCAAGTACCTTAACATAAATGCATATTATAAACTTGCAAGCAAAACGTCATGTATGACATGTATGATACGAATGCAAGGCATCCTTCTAAAAGGAGATGTAAAGTTTTAATTAAATTGATTAGTTCACCATAGGGCATATAACTGCAAATAGTGTAACTTTAAATAATATGGATTAAATCAACATGTCCGAAAATATAAATGTAACGCCTAATTATATATGCGGAAACTGACAATAGACTAAAATTATTATCTTTATTTAGACACCAAGTGGCCACCACCTACGTTGGACATCTTTTTGAGGTACTTCCTCTGCCAACTGATGAGGCCATACTGGCAGCATCGAGGAGGGAGATACGACTGCTCCTAGAGCCGTACAGTGAAGAGAGGCGAAAGGTAATCCGCAAAAGAAGTATGTGCCTCCTTAAGAAGGAGAAAACCAAGAGGAATAACGAAAGTAGAAAAGAGCTTCAAAGAACACAAGCAGAACTCCACACAGAAAGAGAAAGAAGGCACGCCCTTGAGGCTAAGGTGGATAGCCTGAGGAGACAAAGAAGACACTTGGAGGAGCACATTAGGGCCCTAGAAAGGGACTTGGGAAAGGCATACATGGAAGAGAACATTGTCCGCAATGCCGTTGAACATCTACTTCTGAGTAAAATTATAGAATGGAAAATCATGGAAGTTCGTCCAAAATGGGAAGATATATCATCATTATCTCCAGTGCATAAAGCATATTGGTCACAATGGAATCAGATTCACCTTATAAAGGGAGTATTATACCGTAAATGGATACCTTCAAAGGGAAAGAAAATTGTTTGGCAGTTAGTAGTACCAAAATGTCTGCAAACTGAAGTTTTGGAACAGCTTTTGGAGGCCCCTTAGGAGTTAAACATACTCAGGATAGAGTACAAGGAATAGTATACTGGCACAACTATATTGTAGATGTAGAAAAATGGGTCAAAGGTTGTATACGTTGTCAGCGCAGGAAACATCCAGCAAAACACCCCAAAGCTAAAATGAAATCATATAATGTTGGATATCCATTAGAGAGAGTAGGAATGTATATACTGGGCCCTATTAGGAGAAGTCGTCATTATAAAAATAAGTACATATTAGTAATACAGGATTACTTCAGCAAATATGCGGAAGCTATTCCCTTACCTAACAGAAGCAGTAACTGTTGCAAGAGCTTTTATAGATGGATTTATATCTAAATTTGGTGTGTCACTTTCACTTCAAACAGATATGGGATCACAATTCCGTTCTAACATGTTCAAAGAACTGTGCTCCTTATTAGGCATTACTCAGACATTTAATAGCCCGTATCATAGCCAGTCAGGAGGTCAAGTAGAAAGGACAAATAGAGTTGTGGAAGATATGCTAAGCAAATATGTTAATGATTGCCAAGATGACTGGGATGAAGATCTTCAAATGTTGATGCTATCCTATCGTTCTTCAGTGCATGAAAGTACAGGGTTCAGCCCAAATGAACTCATGATGGGACGAGAGGCTATCTTACCTCCGGATTTATTGCTTGGAAAGTGTCCAATAGAAAGGGAATTTGAATCATATAGTGAATATAACAATGCTCTCGTAGATCATCTATATTTAATTCATGAGCAAACTAGGATTAACCAATCAAAGGCCACAGAGCGTCATAGGAGGAAATATGACCAAAACATACAATTGAATTACTACAAAGTAGGTGATGCAGTAATGATTTACACACCTAAGTGTAAAGTAGGCCATTCTGCCAAATTAACATCTTATTGGAGTGGACCTTATTATATTATAGAAAAACTAAGTGACTTTGTTTACGTCAAAAGGAAAAACAAACACAGCAAAGTGCAAGTTGTTAACCATAACAGAATGAAACTGTACCATCAACGAAGTTAGGATGACCCCATAGTAGAAATATAGTAAACAAAAGGTTTCATTAACAGTTAATAGTAACTGAGTAAAAGTTTGTTGATACTGTAAGTGAAAATATAGTAAACAAAGTTATCTTATTTCATCATGGAAATGAAAATTCAAATATGTTTAAACACTTTAATGTAAATGTAACTGCGACTTTTAGAGTCTGGCTCAAAACTTAGCTCATTTATATGTAATACTATAATTGAGTGTACATGTATATTGAATATTATAATACTTGTAATTATGTTATTCTACAATTGCAGTAAAACTGGATTAACACGACAATGGATCCTTATATTATACCCAAAGACCCATATGTGAGATCCTCCAAGATTAGAGAAATAAAAGACATTTTGAAGAACTTAAAGAAAGAAAACGAAGAACTTCAGCAGGCATTTGATGATGGATACATTTCAGCAAAATGTTTTTTAAAATTCATTTTACTTATTGGGCAGTAAGGAAAGGTATTTTGAGTACTATATAGAACTGCTTACTGTAGCAGACTCAATTATTTTCTTTTAAAGTGACTTTTTAGATTACGAAACATACTTAAATACATTTAAAGTGATCTCGTGAAGTGACTCCTTGGATTACATATTGCACAGTACTTGTATACTGTCAAAGTGATTACTTGCCAATGGATTACTGATTATAGTTATCTGATATTAAAGCGATTAATTGGATTTAAAGCAGATTTAACAATGGAATGCTTTAATTGCAAGGAGCAAGTAAATACAATCATGGAGTGGGTGACGCATGTCTTTAACACACATATAGGACATTTACATTGCGCGACATGTGATAAAACAGTGTCAATTAAGAACTTACAGGAAGGCTGCCATCATATTATGGATTATCAAACATCGGTACAAAAGAATCTATCATCATCATCCCATCATATTTCTACCAGGGATGTTTTTGAAAAAGACAATGGAAATAATGGCTCAGACAAAGAAGAAACATCGCAGAACACTTCTAACACCAAAAATAAAACTCCAAATCCCACCAAACCCCAAACTCTCTCTAAATTTAGTTATTGGCCAACAACAGAATTTCCCCAGAGCCGAAACGCAAAATAATCAAACCCAGTCCAGTTTATAGTAGTTTCCATGAATGCGATACGTGTCTATATAGATGCGCACAAAATACTATAAGGTTTTCTGATGATTCCTAAGGCATTGTCATAATTCCTTGTTGTATGGCCTTGTGCAAAATATTTGCATTGCATATGCCAGTAAGGCTAGGTCATGTTGGATTGTTTAGGTAATTTAACATTAGTTACTAGGCAACTGCTTAGTTAAACATAAACATTTCTACGATTTTAGTTTGACTTGGAGACCTTTGTCCTAATTGGTTCATTTGGTTTGCATTGCTATGATTTTAATTTGGATTCATACATCTACTTCTGACCTTCAGGTTGGAATCTATCTCCTAAGACTTTCATAGACTGACATACTTTTGTATTTATATCAATATCAAGGAAATTGAAATAAATTGAAAAAAAATAAAAAAAAAATAATTGGACATCAATAGTAAACAGTTGTGAATTTTTAATAACACATGATTGTGTTACTAAGTGTACTTAAATTTCACAACTTCAAATATCACTATTTAACCATACATGTTCGTTTATACTGTTGATATACTGCTTTAAGAAAACATACCATGCATAATTTTGCATTGAAAAAAATGAAACAAAAATTGTAAAAGAAACCTTTATTAAATATTAATGCGTTTGAAGAACAGTTATTATATGGAGTAAAACTCTGTAAAACTTTGTTGTAATTGCAAAGTTGGTGGTAATGAAACATTGTTGTTTTTTATTGAATATTTTAGTTAACAATGTTTATCGCACAAATATTTTGTGTTTGAGGACAAACAATTTTAATTAAGTTGGGGGTAATGAAACAGGGTTTAGGCTTCTCATACATTAAATTTTGGTACAAACTTCATTTTTTATATTGCATTGATTTTTAGGTTTCAATATATATTTTATTGTTCTATACATTTGATGTACATCATTTCTATTCTTCATTCCTCTTTAGTACATCTGCACTCAATACATGATATCATTCATAAATAACATTAAAATCTTGGCTCATTTCATATTGTTTTGTCTTTTCTATCAGGAAAGTCCCAAATCCAATAAAGGAGAATCTTAAGTTCAAGAAATTCTAGTTTATTACATAATCTACTTGACTTTCTATTGGTTCATGTTGGTTCCTTATGGGAACCAACATTTGCCTCCATTTAGAGGAGGTTTAGGAAGTCCAGTAGATTTTAATTTGATATTATCTGTTATTTGTTCATTATTGCTTCATTTATTTGGTAATTATGGGAAATTATTATTCGCCTCCTTTTTGGAACCTTCCCTGTGGAACTTTCCATACTTTCGGACTTTTCTTGATTATCATCTCAGAATATCATCTTCAGAACAGTTTTTATCAACGATCACAACACAACGTAGGGAAATATGTAAAATATTGTATTTGGATTGAATTTTAAACTTGGATTATAGAAAATAAACTTTTAGGCCTTTTACTTACTTTTCATGTTACTTTATTAGAACTTAAAAAACTGTTTCAATTGGTATTGCTCAAAATAAATTGGGAGAAAAATAAGGCTTTCAAAATATAATCTGGAGAAAAATTGAGAATGCTGAGAATAATCAGGACAAAAAATTGGGGTTTACAAAAATAATCGGGAGAAAATTGGGATTGCTACATGTGAGAATAATCGGGGAAAAAATGCTCATATGAAGCCAGGCAGAATTTTCAAACATAAGACAACTGGAGATGTAACCACAACAGTTGTTACCACTCACTTTTTGACATTAATTAGTCAATTAATTAATTTACTATATTATTTGATATCATTGATATTTATACCAATATTGTAAGGAATCTGATAGTAATTGTTACTATTTTGTATTATGTTGGTTCAATCAGGTAGCAGTCGATGGAGTTAATATTTGATTGACACCTGAGATTGTACTTGATAACTTGATACTAGTTTAAACCTGTTGAGCTAATTATAGTACAAGATTCTATTTTAAGCTTATTCTGTCAGGTGGAACTAATATATCAGTAACCACTTTTAGCGGGTTTCGAACAGGTTTCTGATGCAATATGCGTGGGCGATTGTGCAATTATTGCACAAGTTTTGCCTATTATTGCGCAATCCTGACAGAATGATTTATGTAATTTTACTTGCAACCACGGATTCACAATCAAACATTCTGAATTGGGATCGCCTTCTGAAACATTCAACACTTGGATCACAACTACTATACTCTAAATTCATATTTTGGATCGCACAATCTGATGTTCTAATACGGGATCACCTTCACAAGTACTCTTGAGCTGAGGATACAACAACTCTTAGAAGGAAGAATTATCTCAAAGACGTAAAAGATTGTGAATCCAGGTTGCAGATGAAGACATAAATAAAGAATAAACAATCTACAACAACTTTTGTTAATCGATATCGTGATGAGATACCTGTGAGTACCGGAAACCTACAAGATCCCGGAATAATCGAACATCGATCACGTAACCGTCACGGGTGATTGGGTTCACAGGAATCTATGATATTGGCTCCAGTGTAACTTTAATGTCATATAATTTTTTTACAAGAAATTTTGAACATGAGTCGAGTCTACAAAGACAAAAGGATTAAAATCACACGTACAAATGGTTCTGGAATTCAATACAAATGGTAGTCTCATCACAACTTTAACCATGGACAACAATTACACAAAGTGCCAACCTGACTGACCTTTTCTCAAACCCAATCGCTGATTTGTGATAAAAAAAAAATTTCTGCAAAACTATTAGAGATACAGCCAAACACTATCATTGTGTAATGTGTCAGTTAGGTAGAAATTCCTGCTTGAAACATATTAAGATGTTCCATAGCTGCACTTATGAGGATATAAAAAAGACATGCAGACATGTCAAAACTACATGGAGATATCTTCTCACTGCTACAAATGCTGCTGTTAAGGCAGTTTCTGCAGTGGTTCTAAGATAGGCCATAGTGAGTCAAATCAACAGAAAGAGTGTTTTGGCTTCCTCCATGAAACTGCCCACAGCTCTACAATTGAGATAGTACAACTGCACAATATTGATCTCTGGACTGTAACTTGAATAAATCATGGATATCCATCCCTACATGTCTCTTCGAATGTGGCAAACTTCATGTAGCAAGAAGTCCATGTCTGAAATATACAAAAGCACATGCAACTACAAAGTTCCCCAGCAGGGTGTCAAAGTCTGATAAGTTATTTGAAAGAACAAAGTAAAGCCTCATAGAAATTTAGAAATTAATGCAATTATTTTTGTTATTGTGCGTTCATGGAGATTCCATGGTAAAAAAAGGTGGTAAGTAATGTAAGTGTATTGCAGCTGAATATAATACTGTAAAGTTTGACCAATGTCTCCAATTGATGAACTATTAATTAATTGTACTTCAAACACTATTTCAAAGTGTGACACTATCATAGACATACATATATCATAGATATATACAATATCATTCAAGGATATCCTGATGATAGCGATTAAAATAACTGTCAAACAATGGATATATACAATATCACTCAAGGATATTCTGATGAAAGAAATTGTGGAAGTGATATAAAGTGATATTGTAGAAGTGATATAAAGCAAATGAAGGTGACTAGAACCTCAAAGATCAAGGGACTGTGGTCCTTATCTGTGACTTTCATCGAGAAAAGGCATGGACAGAGTGGATTTCTTAGATAGATAATGGAGTGTCAAATCAACAGAAGGAGTGTTTCGCCTACCTCCATGTAACTGCCCACAGCTCTACAATTGGGCAATACAAATGCACAATTCTGATCTTTGGATTGTAACTTCATTTGTAATTTTTTAAATATTTATGAATTCTGAACGTTCGTTACTGTGAAGGTACAAAAGACTCTCTTATTTAAACATTGTCTGACATCACTCCATTGTTTGGATAAAGAGAAGAACCAGCAAGCATCCAATCAAGTTCAACACAATTCTAGTTTTTGTGTAGAACACACTGTCTAAAATGGGTTAGACATACAATCTCTTATGGACTTTGCTCTTGCTACACTCAACAAGGGTGCTCCTTTGAACAACTGCTGGGGGTTCATTGATGGCACTGTAAGGCCAATTTGTAGACCATTGAAAGGTAAAAGATTTTTTAGTGGTAACAAGAGAACACAGGGTTTCAGACTTCTGTCAGTTGTTGGGATATGGTATGCTATAAGGTGATCTTTTTCCCTTTAATGATTGTTTTGAATAAATTCAATAAAATTAATAATTTAATCAATCGATTAAATAATTAAAGCTTATATGGCATTATCAAATCAACATATCGAAACCCTCTTCATCTATAGCTTCTAATAATTGGAATTTCATTGTTTTTTAAAGTTTTTATAAAATCATGGTTTGTAACAAGGATATCTAATTTTTGCTCATTTCAACAAAATTCTCAATTTTGTATAATTGTATGGATCAAATTTTAAGAGTGTTACTTTCGTTAACATTCCTTATTGAAAAGAGGCAGTCTTAACATTCTTTTGAATCTGGTTTCTTTCCAGTTAAGAATCACTTTTCCGACATTTTTGGTTTAAGCAACATTAACTTCTCATTGAGATATAAACTTCAAAACTATGTGACTTACTATAAAAATTCTAAATTATATTAAAACCATCAGCATATATACGCTGAGAACCAGGATGTAATCATTATAATTATCATCGTTAGAGTTGGATTAATCCTGAACATTACTATAAATAAACATTGAACACTATTCCATATTTTATGTTGATTTTTATACAGAATCAACACTTCGAAACTACAGCTTAATATAACGTGGTTAATACATAATATAACATGGTGGACGCTCTGAAAGATCCCGGCCTCCTGAACACTTTATTAACAAATGGATACGCCTATCATATAGATAAGTAATTTTTATACAGGAGGAAGGAAATTATTTATAGACAGTCAAGAATAAAATCAAGGAAATATTGAAATCGTACCACAATGGAACAATTTCAATTTAGGACATACTGAAGAAAGACAAACAATGGCAAAAGCTTTAAGCTCTATCCAAGAATTTAAAAACACTGATAACCCAATCGTATGGTTCAAATGCTTTGATGCCGTTTCGTTGATTAATAACTGGAATGATCAAGAGAAATTATCCATGTTAAAACTTAAAATTCCAGAAACCACAACTCTATGGATTAGGAAATTGCTGTTAGATATTTGAGAAGACTTTGACACATTAAAATAAAAATTTATTGAAAAATACTCTAAACAGGACGATTGGAGATCTATCCAAGACATCTTTACCAAAAAGCAGAATGACCTATGAGTACAAGAGTAGTCAGACTATTTTCTAACAAAGGCAAACCAAGTTGATATGAAATTGACAATTTGAAACTAAAATTTATTTGTGGACTCAATGAAAAAACTTGAGCCGATGTTATAAAATCTAAACCAACAACTTCTGATGAAGCTGTCAAAGCTGCAAAAACTTAAGAAGCTACAAATTATTCGTGCACATCAATATCCGTTGCGGCGATCAACCGATCAAGTGATTAGCATGAATTTACAAGATGAGTCAAGGATCTTTGCTACGTAACAGCAAAATTGGAACAACAACAACAGCGACAATGGCATCCAAGACAAAAACAAGGTGAACCTGAGTGGGACATGTTGGACACTCCTCAACGTCAAGGTTGGAATTCCCGTGCACCTGCACAGGGTAAGTGTTTTTACTGCAACAGAAATAATCATACAAAAGCGTATTGCTTTCTAAAGAAACAGCACCTATCACAGGGACGATACTCCCCTCAAAATAAGCATAACAATAAACATTTAAACTAGATGACGGGCATGATACACCTGAGGAGCGTCTACCATTGCCTGTTATCCAGTTAGTTGATGATGCCATATGTAAATATTGAAATAAATGGAACAGTTCTCGTAGCATTAATTGAGACAGGTGCTTCAAAATCATTTATTAACGAATCAATACTTGCAAACCCTAGAATGAATTTTTTTTAATTATTGGAACCTATTTTCGACTCTGTTAGATAAGCAGACAATTTGAAAATGAACATAAAAAATATGGTAATGCCTACAATAACAGTTTCAAAGGTTAGTTAAATTTGCATTGCATTCCATGGCTAATCTTTCTCACAACGTGATTCTCGGTCGTGATTTTCTATTGCAAAATTTGATTTTAAGAGTAATCAAATCATAATGCCATCATCATCTAAGATAACATGAAAAAAATTATTATAATTTAACCAAAGTGTGAGGTGGTGTGTTCTGTGAAAACCAGAAATCACGAGGGAGTAGAGGGTCTGATATCCCCAGGCAGAAAGCTGACTAGAACTTTGAATATAGGTATAGCTAGGGTGGTTGATAAATGTCGAGATAATACTATACATATCCGCATTTTCAACGGAAACGATCATTGTGTTACAATCAATGAAAGAAGTAATTTAGGAACTTTTGAACCCGATTCCATTGTAAATCAAGCATTTGACAAAGAATGCATGACAGTTTCAGCATCTGAATCAAAATCCAATGAAAACAATTCTTATTTCAATAAACACAAACTCCGGTCAAGTTCCGATCAGTGTAACACCAGACAGTCTCAATGAGAGTCAAACACAGATGTTTTGATTTAAACAAATCCTACTCTAGGATCATGTACTTTATTTGAACAACAATTGAGTCTGAAAGATCCTAATTGTAAACCAACTAATTGCATACAATATCATTTAAGGATATTCTGATGATAGAGATTGAGGAATGGAAACTGATATGGAGAACATGAATCTGGGTGACTAGAGCCTCAATTGGTAATGTTTTAAAAAGATCAAGGGACTGTGGTCCTTATCTGTGACTTCCATCGAGAAAAGGCATTGACAGAGTGGGTGTAAAATCAACAGAAGGGGTGTTTGGCCTACCTCCATGCAACTGTCTACAGCTCTACAATTGAGAAAGTACAAATGCACAGTTCTGATCTTTGGACTGTAACTTTACGAATTCGTAACTTCATTTGTAACTTTCTAAATATTTATGAATTCCGAACCTTCGTTACTGTGAAGGTAAAACAGACTCTTATCCAAACATTGTCTGACATCACTCCATTGTTTGGATAAAGAGAGAAACCAGCAAGCATCCAATTAAGTTCAACACAATTCTAGTTTTTGTGTAGAACACACAGTCTAAAATGGGTTAGACATACAATCTCTTATGGACTTTGCTTTTGCTACACTCAACAAGGGTGCTCCTTCGAACAACTGCTGGGGGTTCATTGATGGCACTGTAAGGCCAATTTGTAGACCATTGAAAAGTAAGAGATTTTTACAGTGGTAACAAAAAAAACACGGGGTTTCAGACATTAGTCAGTTGTTGGTATATGGTATGCTATAAGGTGATATCTCCCTTTCATGATGGTTTTGAATAAATTCAATAAAATTAATAATTTAATTAATTAATTAAATAATTAAAGCTTATATAACATTATCAAATAAATATATCGAAACCCTCTTCATCTATAGCTTATAATAAATGGATTTCATTATTTTTTTAAGTTTTATAGAATCATGGTTTGTTACAAGGATATCTAATTGATGCTCATTTCAACAAAATTCTCAATTTTGTATTATTGTATGGTTCATATTTTATAAGTGTTACTTTCGTTAAAGTTCCTTATTGAAAAGAGGCGGTCTTAACATTCTTTTGAATCTGCTTTCTTTTCAGTTTAGAATCACTTTTCCGACATTTTTGGTTTAAGCAACATTAACTTCTCATTCAGATATAAACTTCAAAACTATGTGACTTACAATCAAAATTCTAAATAAATTATATTAAAACCATCAGCATATAAATATGCTGAGAACCAGGATATAATCATTATAATTATCATCGTTAGAGTAGGATTAATCCTGAACATTACTTTAGATAAACATGGAACACTATTTCATATTTTATGTTGATTTTTATTGTTACGTTCGAAAATAACAGAAAGTAAAAACAGCAATTAAAAAAAACTAAATAATATAACAATGATATAAAGGAGGTTTAATACTTAAGTGATGTCCAATCAATGATACGGCTTATTCTTGATGTCGATAAATATCCTTGACGATCCTTGAGAATGTTCCAGATCACGAAAGTTTCAATAATCGTTAATAGTTCTCCAATGTTTGTAATAATCCAATAATGTTCGTCGTAATCCTATACAATAATGTTTGATGATAATCCACAAATGTTTATGATAATCCACGAATGTATATGATAATCCGTATATAGTGTGTGTTGTAATATATGTCCATATAAAGTCCTCAGGTTGTATGTTTGTAGTGTTATAAATGTTCCCACAGTAATTATCTGCTAAGAAGATGTCCTTTGATCAACTTTGAAATTCTGCTTTATTTAGTTCCTTTGAGATGTCCAGTTATGATTACTTAATTATCTGCTACAGAGTAGATGTCCAGTTATGATGACTTAATTTATCTGCTACTGAGTCCACTTTGCAGTTTTATTTATAGTGTGAAAGAATCATCTAGAAAGAATCTTCTAGAACTAAGACTACTTGTTGAGTTTTGATTGGACATCTTTAGTGACATGATTAAATTTTAATGAATGGTTATAATTTCTAGAACTATCTGGATGGTCAAGGGTTAATGAGTCATTCAGTTCAGTTTTGTTTACAAGATACAGTGTATAATGTCATTGTGACCTTGACCCAAGATCTCCAATAAAGAATAGCTCAACATATACAGCAAACATACATTACAAATTAAACTATAGGTGAATATAGTAGAATATAATATGCATGTAGCTCACTACTGTAACACCTCCCTCCTTAAAAGAAAAGTTTTGAATGCAATGAAAAACTTTTACAAAAATATCTTGAGTAGCGAGCGTTACAATTTCTAAAAGTGAGGTTGAGACTTACATAATATTTGTTTACAATAGTCTTTTTATGTGCAGTATGTTTACAAGTATTTAATACTTTCTATCGTTACAGTGTGAGTACAATCTAATAACATATAATGTTCTTGTAATCATATACTACAATAGTATCTACATAAGTTATGCATTAAGTCATAAATACAATACACGCAATAGATCATATAACATGTACAATAGCATACATTTTTGAGTCTGACAAACACTAAACTAGTACAATGTTTTAAATTATCACATGATCTTATGTAAGTATTTCTAATAGTACACTCTGATGTTATCAAGTAATCTTGTGACACTATTTAAAGATTACCTATAATGCTCACATAATCTAGAAACATTCTTGTAGTTCATATAATATCAATTTCACTATTTAGGCAAATATTTTTATATATTGTTAAAATAAAGTGACAGTTATCACAAATCTCTAATTTGCCTACCATATAATATAATCTTCATAAGTTAATCATTATAATTTACAATATCTGACTCTTGAATAACATACATGTATAGTTGTCATTGACATACAAGTTTGGCCTATGAGCTAAGAGCACAAGCTCATGTTGAGTAAAGAAATTTATCACGCTCAACATACCTTTTCATCATGTGTAGCTCTCTACACCTCACAGGAGTAGTTCTATCAATGCAAATGAAATCATTCAGCACTGAGTTAGATTGTAAATCAGATATGAGCTCCTTTGGTAGCTCTACTAATGTGAAATTGTTGATTTGTGATTTCACAATATACTTGGTTTTGCTATTCCTAAGCATAAGGAGTGATTTTATTTCTGGAAACTGTGCGGCCATAGATAGAATAGTGAGCAGATATTGATTATCAGATTTTGGTTTTGGTAATGGACCAGCACAATCAATAAGAACCTTACTAAATGGTTCATCGAATGCAGGTATAGGGTGTAAAGGAGCAGTTGGAATTTTCTGGTTAGGTTTTCCTACCATTTGACATGTATGACAAGACCTACAATACTCTTGGACATCTTGTTTTAATTTGGGCCAATAGAAATGATTGAGTATTTTATGGTATGTTTTAGTTACTCCTAAATGACCTGCCATGGGAGAATCATGAGCTAGACTCAAGATTTCCTTATGATATGATTTTGGGACAACAATTTGATGTACAATTGCCCAATCATCTTCAGGGGAAGCTTCAGGAGGTCTCCACTTTCGCATTAATATGCCATCCTTTTTGTAGAAACAAACAGGGACCTTGTCAGCTTCATCAATAGTAAGACATCTTTTATGAAGATCAATGAGTGATGGATCATGCTCTTGTTCATAAATTAACATGTGTTTAGAATGAGGATCATTTTTCAAAGAATCACTATCAGAAATAGAGGATGAAACCTCAGAACAAGGAGGAGATGAAACCTCATGAACACTAGCAGAAGAAGATGAAACTTCATCGGGACTAGCAAGAGCGGGCGAAACCGCATTAAAATAGTGATCCTGCTCAGAAGGTGAATCACCTCTGGCAATAGGCTTTTTCAATGAAGAATTTGCCTCAATAGATGACTGCTTGGCTCGAACAGAAGGCTGTTTCAATGAAGAATTTGCCTTTAAAATAGGATAAGGATCATCTTTAACAAGTGGTGAGTGACATTCATCATCAAACAAGGAGCTTAAAAACCCACTATCAAAGTCATCTCCCACAGACGAATCCCCGCTATCAGCTAACTTTTTAGCCATAGCCCTAGTAACAGCACAAGCAGGATATATATCAGAGTCCTCTTGGACAGAATCCTCAATAGAACAAGGCTGATCAGAAACAATGGGGTCTAATGATACCTTACCCCCAGCTAAATCATTGCCTAAAAGCAATGCGACTCCTTCAACAGGAAGTTGTGGCCTAACACCAACAATAACTGGCCCTTTGACTAACTCTGATGTGATATGAATACGATGGAGGGGAACTTTAGTAAATCCTAATTCAATGCCTTGCATCAAAATATGGGTACCTGTGAATGACTCCTCAGATAAAGGAAGGACACCTTCTAACAACAAAGTCTGAGATGCACCCGTGTCTCTAAGAATCTTAACAGGCTTTGAATTGGTATCATCACTTGACAGTGACACAGATCCTTCCGACATGAAAGGCTTATAATCCTCCATAATATCACTATGAGTAGATTTCTCAGTATGAGTATATGAATCCCAAACAATGGGTTTTCTTGAAATGGGAACAGTAGCACAACCATTTGAATGAGCAGAACCAGACATCTCTCTTCTATTCTTAATCCTATAGCATTCAGAAATAAGATGACCAGGCTTTTTACAATAGTTACAGGTGACATTTGATTTTGGACCTGAAGAATTTGATTGATCTGATTTTGAGCTAGAACTCTGTGATGAATAAGACTGGTCTTTTGCTTTGTTTGATGTATTTGATGATGAGGACTGATTTGATTTAGAGTCATATGAAGGTTTGTTACCTTGATAACCTCTAAAGTTAGGATTACCTTTGATAAAACTACCCTTATGAGTAAGAGCATAATCATCAGACAGGGTGGCAGCTTGACTTAAAGTTTCTACCTTGTGTTCATCTAAGTAAGTTCTAATGTGATATTGAACACAGTTTTTAAATTGTTCTATTAGCATAAGCTCTCTGAGCTTTTTAAATTCTTCAGATACATCCTTAGAGACAAGCCACCTGTCAAAAAGCTGCTCTTGCTCTCGAGCAAACTCAACATGGGTTTGGTCACTCTGTTTGTGGGCATTTCTAAATTTTTGTCTGTAAGCTTCTGGAACTAGTTCATAAGCTTTAAGAATTGCATTTTTTAATTAGGTCATAATCAGAGCATGCTTCTGCTGAGAGAGAGGCAAATATTTCACTTGCTTTGCCAATGAATACACTCTGGAGCATAACTGGCCATGCTGATTTAGGCCAGTCTAGGCTCTGAGCGACTTTTTCAAAATGCGTAAAGTATTTATCAACATTTTTCTCCTGAAATTTAGGTACAAATTTGAGAAATTTTGAAGCGTCAAACCTATTTTCAAAATGTTGATGCATAGTAGCATGTTCATCAGTTTTTGATTGAGCTTCTATCTCAAGGCGTTTTAATTCAATTTCTCTTTGAATTTCTTGTTCTCTCATTTGTCTTTCATTTTCTCTTAATCTTATTTCTTTTTCACTTTCTCTTTTTTCTCTTTCATTTTGAATTTCTAATTCTTTTTCTCTCAATTCTCTGATTTCTCTTTCTTTTTGAATTTCTAATTCTTTTTCTCTTATTTCAAGCTCTTTAAGCTTAATAGGATCAACAGGGTCAACATGTTGGGCTGGCTGCTCAGGCAGAAGTGATTCTGCGACCAAATATTGAAGTACAAAGTTTTTAATAGTATCCTTTTTGTATGAGCTTTTGACTGACAGGCCAACATGTTTTGCAATTGCCAGAAGTTCAGTTTTCTTCAAATCGTCAAATTCCTCCAAAGAGGGCGCTTCTAAAAATGTCTCAACCTCAAAACTCATTTTCAATTAATTGCTGTCTTCACAGTTTAAATATACAAGTTTTGGATTTTGAATTTTAAAATATTTGTATTCTAGCTTGTTGTAGTTGTATCCCGGACGAGCCCCCAATTTCTGTTACGTTCGAAAATAACAGAAAGTAAAAACAGCAATTAAAATATGATAACAATATATTTATATTTTGAAAACTAAATAATATAACAATGATATAAAGGAGGTTTAATACTTAAGTGATGTCCAATCAATGATACGGCTTATTCTTGATGTCGATAAATATCCTTGACGATCCTTGAGAATGTTCCAGATCACGAAAGTTTCAATAATCGTTAATAGTTCTCCAATGTTTGTAATAATCCAATAATGTTCGTCGTAATCCTATACAATAATGTTTGATGATAATCCACAAATGTTTATGATAATCCACGAATGTATATGATAATCCGTATATAGTGTGTGTTGTAATATATGTCCATATAAAGTCCTCAGGTTGTATGTTTGTAGTGTTATAAATGTTCCCACAGTAATTATCTGCTAAGAAGATGTCCTTTGATCAACTTTGAAATTCTGCTTTATTTAGTTCCTTTGAGATGTCCAGTTATGATTACTTAATTATCTGCTACAGAGTAGATGTCCAGTTATGATGACTTAATTTATCTGCTACTGAGTCCACTTTGCAGTTTTATTTATAGTGTGAAAGAATCATCTAGAAAGAATCTTCTAGAACTAAGACTACTTGTTGAGTTTTGATTGGACATCTTTAGTGACATGATTAAATTTTAATGAATGGTTATAATTTCTAGAACTATCTGGATGGTCAAGGGTTAATGAGTCATTCAGTTCAGTTTTGTTTACAAGATACAGTGTATAATGTCATTGTGACCTTGACCCAAGATCTCCAATAAAGAATAGCTCAACATATACAGCAAACATACATTACAAATTAAACTATAGGTGAATATAGTAGAATATAATATGCATGTAGCTCACTACTGTAACATTATATGGAATCAACATTTCGCAATGTAACTAAAGCTTAATATAACATGGTTAATACATAATATAACATGGTGGACACTTTGAAAGATCCTGGCCTCCTGAACACTTTATTAACAAATCGATATCAAATCGATAAGTAATTTTTATACACGAGGAAGGAAATTATTTATAGACAGTCAAGAATAAAATCAAGGAAATATTGAAATCGTACCACAACGGAACAATTTCAATTTAGGACACATTGAAAAAAAAACAATGGCAAAAGCTTTAAGCTCTATCCAGGAATTTAAAAACACTGATAACCCAATCGCATGGTTTGAATGCTTTGGTGTCGTTTCATTGATTAATAACTGGAATGATCAAGAGAAATTATCCATGCTAAAACTTCAAATTCCAGAAACCACAACCCTATGGTTTAGGAAGACTTTGACACATTAAAAGAAAATTTATTGAAAAATACTCTTAACAGGAAGATTGGAGATCTATCCAAGACATCTTTACCAAAGAGCAGAATGACCTATCACTACAAGAGTACCCAGACTATTTTCTAACAAAGGCAAATCAAATTGATATTGAAATTGACAATTTGAAATTAAAATTTATTTGTGGACTCAATGAAAAAACTCGAGCCGATGTTATAAAATCTAAACCAACAACTTTTGATGAAGCTGTCGAAGCTGCAAAAACTTTGGAAGCTACAAATTATTTGTGCACATCAATCTCCGTTGCAGCGATCAACCGATCAAGCGATTAGATGCATCAAGAATCTTTGCTCTGTAACCGCAAAATTGAAACAACAACAACAACAGCGACAATGGCATCCAAGACAAAAACAAGGTGAACCTGAGTGGGACATGTGGGACACTCCTCAACGTCAACGTTGGAATTCCCGTGCACCTGCACGTGGTAAGTGTTTTTACTGCAATAGAAATAATCATACAGAAGCGTACTGCTTTCTAAAGAAACAGCACCTATCACAGGGACAATACTCCCCTCAAAATAAGCATAACAATAAACATTTAAACTAGATGACGGGCATGATACACCTGAGGAGCGTCTACCATTGCCTGTTATCCAGTTAGTTGATGATGCCATATGTAAATATTGAAATAAATAGAACAGTTCTCGTAGCATTAATTGACACAGGTGCTTCAATATCATTTATTAACGAATCAATACTTGCAAACCCTAGAATGAAAAATTTTAATAAAGTATTGGAACCTATTTTAGACTCTGTTAGATAAGCGGACAATTTTTTAAAATGAACATAAAAAATATGGTAATGCCTACAATGACAGTTTCAAACGTTAGTTTTAAATTTGCATTGCATTCCATGGCTAATCTTTCTGACAATGTGATTCTCTGTCGTGATTTTCTAAAATTTTGCAATGCAAACATTGATTTTAAGAGTAATAATCAAATCACAATGCCATCATCATCTAAGATTACATCTGAAAATGCTATTAGAATTAAACCAAAGTGTGAGGTGGTGTGTTCTGTGAAAACCATAAATCAAGAGGAAGTAGAGGGTCTGATATCTCCAAGCAGAAAGCTGACTAGAACTTTTAGGACTAGTTAAAAGCCACTCACAGACATTTTACCTATATGTTAAAACCCCAAAAAAGTAATAAATATGACACTGTGCTATAAAAAATATTGTGGCACAGAAATAAAGAAAACTTGATTTGCCATGGCCGGGATTTGAACCTGCAAAATCATGGTTGCAAGCTTTGCACTCTCTCACTCTGCCATAGCCTCAGTTAGACTTCGCAGGTGCATTTTTTAGTATTCATCTTTATTTCAGAAAATATTTTTTCCTCTACACCACAATTATTAAATAGTGGTCATTAATCATGCTAATAATATTAGAATATATATCTGATTAAATATTCCAAGCCAAATTCAGAATTAATGCTGTTAATCCAGTTTTGAGAATCTATTTCCTGTCATGACTGTCAAAAAAACATGGCCTCAAAAACAAAATTCTTGCTTCCAATTTTCAAAATGATATATATTCATGGATCAGCTATTGGCACCTGAACCCATCCTAATAGAAAGGTAAGACTATTTTCTTGAAATCCCCAATTTCAGCCTCTGAAGTCTGTGAAAGTCACTTTAAATCTTGGACACTTTAGATCATCATAGGTGATGGATAGTCCCAATTTCAACACCTTCCTACCTACCTCTACCTTCTTCAGACCAAAACTGAACACTGATATGGAAATCATAAATCTTCGGAACTGTAAGCCAGTAGATCAAGAAACTGTGCAAGCTTATTATACTCATCTGAAGGACCTATCCATGAACTGTGGCTTCAACCTGGAGTAATCAAATCGGGAAATCAAGTTACAGATATTGCAAAACCATCCCCTTGAGGATCTTTTGACAAAATCCATTGATAACAGTTGGGATTTACAGAAAGTTCTGGAATTCAGTAGAATGAAAGAACAGATAAAGGAACACATCAAGAATATGAAATCATCATTGCAAACATCGTCATCAAGTTCACCATCTCTCATTCTTAGACCACTGCCTTTTTAGCTAGTTAATAATGAGTTTATCTCCAAAATGTCAACATGGTACTAATAGGATTAAAATATGGGTCATTTTATTAATCTTGCTAATACGTTTGTTTTGTTGTAATCCCTATGAGGTTGACACTCGTGGATTATTTGGCAAACTGGAACATGACCATTGCTTTCCAGGGGCATAGCCAGCTTTAAGTCAGGAGGGATGCAATCGCCCCAAAAAATCACTTTTTCAGTCAGGGGTGCCAATCGTGGCATAAGCGAGCCAAAAAAGATATGTTTTGACAAAAAAATGATGCAACTTCCTTCAAAATTGGGGGGAGGGTGTGTACGCAACCCTCCTGGCTACGTCTATGCTTTCAGTCTATTAATTACTAAATGTTAGTGATTTTGTTAAAGCATGTTCATATAAATAATATAAATAAAAAGTTATATTACATTGTTTATTATTATCTAAAATTTGATTTCAAAAGATGTCTAAATTAAATAATAGTGACAACTTTATGAATTATCCTTGAGCTTAACCGTTTTTATTATTGGAATACTTTTACAACTTTCTATTCAAAGTATCATGCAAAATGCTAGATTTTCAGAAATGAATGAATTTAATTATTCATCATAAAAAATTAAATTAGACATTGCACAAATGAATAGGGTTGAGTTTGACTGGGGTTGAGTTTTACAGGGTTGAGTTGACTTGGGGTTGAGTTTTACTGGGGTTGACTTGAATTGGGGTTGAGTTGACTTGGGGTTGAGTTGGACTGGGTTGAGATGACTTGGGGTTGAGATGACCTGTCACCTTGAGGGAATTATTCTTTATAAATTATCTCGCGAAAATAAGAGAAGAGAGATTATTGGCTGATACCAGAGGTTGATTGGGGCATAAAACCATGAGCATATAACTCTTATGGAAGATTTATAATATTATTGAAACATAATGTATAAATAATGGCATTCAATTCAATGAGAGAGATCTTGGTCACATTTTAATCAGATCAGAAAATGTTGGAAGCGCTGCGAGCATAGACATTGCATTGCTGGGTAAACATGTCTGGCTGGAACACGAGCCAGCAAGCTCAATGTATGTGTGTCCGATCAAAGACTGTTCTGTAGTATTTAAGGTAAAACGTGACCTAAAACGGCACTTAAGTGGACTATTACCCCATTGGATATCCACTCCGGAAATTGAGGCATTAGAGTTTCCGTTTGTTTGTTTGTTTCCCCAGAAAGGACCCATTCACGCACACCAGTAGTTGCACCAAAGAGAACATCTACTACTGACCAGAAACCTCCTCAACCTCCCAAGATACCGAGGCGTGAGAGTAAGGCTGATGAATCTGATGTGCTTCTTTGCTTTTAATCGAATATGGCTTTCAATAATGCATGTGCTTGTGTTACAACAAGCTTGCTGATGGAGTTTATTGTCTTCACTGTGCTCCATTTACTCCAGAACATGATGTAAAGGATGTCACTTCCTGGTCACAATAAATCTTTTGGAGCTTTGAATACAACTTCATATCTTTAAAATTTTCTACAAAATAAACTGATTTCGAAGGATATTTCTTTAAAACATGCAAAGATTCAGGATGCCTCTGATATTTTGACTTCTATCTACCAAGCATCTTTAAATATAGCCAAAAGTATATTATAGGTTATTCCACATATAAGCTGACATTTGGGGTTCCACACTTGAAAAATTTACTTTGTTTGATTGTACTTATTTTTATTTTTTTTATTATGATTGCCTCATGTATCCTTCATGAAATCCTTAAATATTGTCATTTTGTCTTTTATGTATCAAGTTACCGTAATTGTAAAATCACTGTTCTGTCAAATCAGACTGAAATTGATATCAAGGAAAAGGAGCCATCTCAGGAAATATGTGAAAAAGAACTGGTAGATGATAAATCATCTGCGTCTGATGCAAGACCAGAGGCGTAAAGACAGCGAGAAGAACTTTGGAGGGGCAGAAAATCAGAAAAACATTAATGGAAGTGGTACTGAGTCTCATCCAATTCGAAAAGAAAAAAAGTATTTGTAAAAATGCTTTAGAATGTGGTGTCAAATTACTACAGAAGCTTATTTTGAAATGTGAAGTGCAGACATGACCAAAAAGTTAAGTGACTTTCTGCACTTCCTCCAAGCTTAGTCCACATGCCTACATGTAAGTGATAAAAAATCCATGCATGGGATCATGGCAATGTATTATTATAATCCCATATAGTGTTAACATATCATTTACTTATTAAAGCCAAATCTACAAGGAAAGACCATCTCTGAAGAACTTCACACGAGAGCTGGAAAATTGACCGGAACAAGATTATTATAATGACTTACATGTATTAGCCTACATACAATTGAAAAGTTAGACTATATAGGTTTTTTTGCTTATTCTTATTTTTCAGCAAGAGATCTAAAATGTAGTTAAGTGGGATGTAAGAGCCTTTTGTTGAAGGTTTTGGAGATAGGTCCTGGTATTCTCTTCAATATTCTTGAGATCGTTCCACCAGAAGCCCCACAGCTAAACCCTGATTTTGATTTACTCATGGTACTATTATAACAACTGTCATCCAATGCCCATACAATTGCTGTGGATGAGAACCAAAAGTCAACCTGTATCATAGCGTTACAAACATCTACAACAAGAACATATGAAATTATGCCTCTCTTAAGGCAACTAACACAAAACAAAGGGAAATTTACTATCTGATTAGAAAATGATACGGGAAATCCTAAGCATTTTTCTTACACATCTGTAGTAGTGCTGGAACTGGGAAAATGTCATCTGATGAAATGCATTCACTACACAGCCGGTATTTTGACCATACTAGATTATATAAAATGTTTTCAATCAATATTTGCTTTGAATTAAATACAGGATGCTTTGCATATAAAAAAATTTTTTGAAATAGTTTAACTAAAAGGTCTAATATTCTAATAAACTAAGTTTAGAAGGGTTGGTGGGTTATGTTATAACCTTTTGTTTGTCAGTCTATCATAAACAATTCAGTGAGTTGGCTGAGCTCATCTTTGCATTCAATTAATTGATGTGTCATGCCAACATCAAACTAAATCAGAAACCCCATGAAATGTTCAAAAAGACAAACAAATGATTATTGTTGGTAGTGAGTTATAAATTGTTCCATCAAGCAGTGTCTTATGTTTGAGCCCACTCTTCAGAGGAATAGTGGCTCAATATGTTATGGGAGAGAAAGATACACTCCATGTCTCTACCAGAGTTATTGTTGCCAGTCCAACGACACTTCTTGGAGAATTTTGGGAAGTTGTGATTGCAAATTGTGACAGGATCAAATGGCAAGGCGCATAACATTCTTACTTAGTAAGTTTATTGTTAAAAACTGAATCAATGAAATTTTGCTGTTAAAAGTAGGTTTATATGAATAACAAGGGGTCAATTTCTGAGAAAGTTTATCAGACGAAAGATTTCAGTACAAAATTCTATTCAAGGGGTTTATTTGAATAATTAGGTCAAATACAGCCAAACTTGATAAGCTTTACCTCTTTATCTTTCTCAAAATCAAAAATATCAGTGCAATACATGGGACACTCAGCCCTCCCTCTATATAATGCTC